CTGTTTCTATGGCTTGGGCTTCGTTGGTCTTCCACTGCTCCGCTACATCATTTGCTAATGGATCATCTGGATTAGGAGCACTTAACAAAGCCTGGATCGATAGCAGAACTGTGCGGATCTGCAGTGCTGGGGACCACTTATCTATGAAGGCAACAGGCTCAGTATGATATAGCATGAAAAAAACAGGCCCAGAACTACTGCATCTCCCTCCCACAGACCACTGTGGTCTTATTATTAGGTTACAAGTTACAGGGTTACAGTGTTTACATTCTAAATATGGAATGCATAAGAAAGAAATCATACTACTTACCTTTCAATATATCTAAACATATTCTTCCCAACTTGTCTACATTAGGATGATAAATTTTGGTCATGAAACGTACTTTAGGTGCTGCCATTGGGTATTCTTCTGGAAGGAATAGTTCAAGTTTAAAAGTCCCTCCCTCAAAGGGGGAATCCTGGGGGCCAGCAATGACCACATGAAAATAACGGGCGTTGCTCTCATCTGGTTCTGCTTTAATGCCAGGAACTGGTTCTGCCAGCAAACGCTGGGTTTCCTACAACAGAAAAACACATTTGTGAAACAAACATCAATTCATTGAACAACAAAATTAAATTTAGAAAGTTCATCTCTTGGATTTAGACATAACAGAATGTCTCCAATCTCCTGATGGGTTATTTGGTGTTTATAAAATGCAAACTTCAAAGAAAAAAACATCTTAGTCATTACAACCAACAAAATGCAATGCCAGAGAATATTGATGGCTTATCATACATTTTAGCTAGAAATATGCTGATAATAAAATTAGGTTAATGAGCCAGGCTCGGTGGCACACACCTGGAGACTGAGACAGGAGGATCATGAGTTCAATGCCAGCCTCAGCAACTTAGTGAAGCACTAAGCAACTCAGTGAGACCCTGTCTCTAAATAAAATACAAAATAGGACTAGGGATGAGTGTCCCTGAGTTCAATTCCCAATACAAAACACACACACACACACACACAAAATGCTAGAGGGGAAATATACATCTCCATGCTTACTGCTCTCTAAAATTGAGAAACCTCAAAGGAACCTTTAATAATTCCCATTATAATCATACTATTAGTTCTATTTTTTCATCAGTCTCCTGGTCTCCTAAATAACACTAGCATTCTTCTCTTTTCAAATCTCTAAAATTCTCCAACCTCACCCTCACTTCTGACTTAGGCCTTGCTTTCTATGTCAAAAGAAAACAAAAATTTCCCTGAGTTCTCATGGTAGCATTTGCACCTCTACCTGCATCTGTATTGCCCAAATACTCCATCCTCTCCTCCAATGTTATATATGCACTCTTGACTAAGTCCAACCTCTCAAGCACTAGATCTTGTTTCCTCACCTGTTTAAGGATGCTACTCCAGCAATGAATTATCAACTCTCCTCTCTGTACTGGCTCTTTTCCTAAACCACACAAACTCCCTACTATTCCTCCAAGAGTAAATGACCATAACCCACTGCTCCTCCCATCCCCCCCACACCAGTTACTGCCCCACTGCTTTCCCCTACTCTTCCAAAGTGATGTACCATTACTTGCTCATTTCCCATTTCTACCCCCTCCCCTTACCCCCATCATGAGCACACTCTCCAATTGGGGTATAGTCACTAACCTGCTTAAGGTCACCAATGAGTCCCACAACAGTTAGACCAAAACTGAACATCTCCCCCATCCTATCTCCAAATTTTTCCTCCCCAAAGTCTTTTCCATATTAGTCAATCCCATTTCATCCAATTGACCTACCCTTTTCTATATGTCACATATCTTATGTGATCAGCAATAGAACTTGTCTGAGGCCCTGGGTTGAATCCCCAGCACCAAAGAGAAGGTGTTTGGGAGAGGAAAGAATGAAGGAGGGTGGACTTCAAAATCTACCATGGTTCTCACCACTCAATTACAATACCCCTGACCCAAGCAACCAGCAGCTCTATCTGGCATAATGCAATAACCTTTAATTTTCTCCCTGATCTCATGTTGCTATCTACTAGCTCTGATTCTATTTTCTACAGATTTTTAAAAAGCCAAAACCCTTATCATGGACTTCCCCCAAAATGTTTATGATTACCTCACTCTGTCTACTTCCCTAACTTACTTTCACCTATTCTCCTCCCCATCCCCTTTGTTCCAATCAAGTCAGTTTCCTTTTAGTTCTTTAACCTACTAGGCACACTTCCATCTCAAAGGCTTTGCACTTGCTCTCTTCCCCCAAATTTCTACATGGCTTTTCCCCTCAGATGCAAAAGATCTTCAATCAATCATGTTTTCTCAGTAAACCATAATTAAAATTGCAGACCCCATTCCACCTTAACCCACACACTCCCTGTCCCCACCCCACTTAACCATGACAAACAAATCACATCTCCCTTTTATTTTGCTCAGAAAATAGCACTATAAGAGGTGGAATTTGAATTTAACCCACACACTCCCTGTCCCCACCCCACTTCATAACCATGACAATCAGATCACATTTCCCTTTTATTTTGCTCAGAAAATAGCACTATAAGTGGGGGAATTTGAATTTATTCACTGCTATATCCTCAGCATCTGGAACGATACCTGTCACCACAATGGATGTCCAATAAATATCTGTTTAATTTTGAATAAATGAGTGAAGACTAAACTATCAGAGTTGCATCTTTACTCAATAAAGCTATGGAGAAAAAAAGAAATGCATCTCAAATAAAGCAGGTTTTTTTCAAAGCAGGATGTGTACATCATGGGAGGAAAACAAAAGGATCCATTTCAGGTGGAGAAGAAACAGTCTAACTTCTATTTATATCTAAACAGAAAAACATTAATTTTAATATGCAAGCTGAAAATAGTATATAACATTTATTATTGATGCATTTTCAACATTCTGAAAAGGCAGATTTAGTTAAACTAAACTGTTAAACAAATTTTTAGGTATGAAAACCAACAAATGCTTAAGAAAGTTGTACACCTTCACACACACACACACACACACACTTTTCCTTCAGTATAGTTACATACTGATATAGCTATCAGATGTAGATACAGATCTTCCCTCCCTCAAATGTGAGAGACCCACAGCCACTGAAAGTAATGCCTTTGGTACTTTCATTCAAGACTAGTTTTTGTTATGATGTTATGGCAAGGCAAGGACAAATGAGAACTCAAATGTGAACTACTTCCAGCAAAATGTTCTTTAGGTTCAAAGTAAAACATTTTCAGGGCATTAAAAAGTTCAAGAAGACAATAAAGAAGTCTCATACCTTGAAAAGTCAAAATGTGACTAGAAAAGGGGGAAAAGTACAAATATTAAGAAAGAACAGTAGAGTACAAGAATGGAAAAAGAACTGGATAGGAAGATTTCTTGAATTATGGGGTCTCCTCACCTCCATCTTCCTTTTGTTTTATCTCTAGTTTATAAAGGTGGGGGACAGGGGTGATCAGGGTCCAAGAATCCCAAATTACCCCCTCCCTGGTTATACAAAGTATAGCAGTTCTATTTAAAGCTACTAAAAAGGCCTCCAGGATCAGATCCCAAAAATAGCTTCAAAATCACACTGAGTACACACTGGCAGAGACAGATATGACACTCATTAGTTAGTTCATCTTCAAAGTCAAGATATTCTTCCAGAAGAATGCATACTTGATCAATCTTAAGATTTAACTGGAACACATTCTAGAATATATTTTTTAGGTGTGGAAAACATTTTGAATCAGTTTTTATATGCACCCAGGTTCCAACAGACTTAACACAGTCAACAGATATATAACTGAATAAACATTGTTGATTTTCCAAACCCACAGCATAAACTGTGGGATGAGAAAAGAATAAAATCCAAACCAAATGGAACCAGTCTCAGAAAACCCAATGTTAAAGTCTTACCCACAGAAGTTGATGGCATCTTTTTCCCTAAAAAGGGAAAAACTAGGTAGGAAATAAAATCCTTCTTGCTACTATCCAAAAGACGGTTAACTGAAATATCTCTAAGTTTTATACTATTCTTTGACAAAAAAGACAGAAAAGAACAGCATGATTTCTTTAAATCCAAAGGTAAAAGTCTCAAAAATTCCTACTGCTTCACTTATTTTTGAGCAAGCATGCTCTGAGCCAGAGCAGGGTTTAAAGCAATCCCCACAACAAAATTTGTCCTTTCACAGTTCCAGTTGTCCTTAGTCAGTCTCAGTCAAAAAAGATTAAATGGAAGATTCTAGAAATAGAAAATATGTAAGTTTAAATTATGCACCATTCTAAGTAATATGATGAAATTTCTCACTTGTTCCACCTGGATATGAATGAATCATCCCTCCTTGTCTAGCCTATTCACAGTGAATGCACTCCTGGCCTGTTAAATCACTTAGCAACCAACCATTTACCAGCAGTTTCAGTTATCAGATCAACCAGTACTTGTCAATCAACCAATACTTGTATTCAAAAAGCCTTCATTTTACTTACTAATGGTCTCAAAAGTGTATCAGCAGTAGTAATGGTGGTAATTTGGACATCTCAAAGATAAGTCACATACATTGTTTCCTGTGAGAAAAGGTAGCTGTTCACAACTTAAGGGAAAAAAAAATAAAATGCTGAGGTTGCCAAGATTTAGAGTAAGAACTAATCTTTCATCCATGAAATTATGAAGGAAAAGGAATTTGTACTAATTTTCCTGTCACACCTAAAACTACTAAAGTTATGGTGCTTCATTAAGACAGTGCATATTAACCGCTTAGTTAAGATAGAAATGGCATTAAATTTGTGTGTGCATGGAGAGAGGAAGAGGGAGAGGGAAAGTGCCCATGAGAGAACTGGAGAAAGAAAGACAAACAGTGTATGCAGAGTTGGGAACTATCTGTAGTTTCAGGTATCCATAAGGGATAATTCTGTAAATATGGAATGAGAACACTAAAAGGACATCACAGAAGGCCATAGTCTGATATAAGCAACTCAACAAGAACGTAAGGTACAAACAAAGCACAACAATAAACTTAAAGATTTATAAGACATTGCTTGTTTTTAAAGAAAACAGAATAAGGCCAGGTATGATGTCAAACACCTGTAATGCGATTCACTCAGGAGGCTGAGGCAGGAGGAAAGTTCAAGGTCAGCCTAGGCAACTTAGAATTGTCTGAAAAAGAAAAAAATAAAATAAATAAGAACTGGGGATGCAGCTCAGTGATAAATTGCCCCTGGGTTCAAACCCCAAAACAATAACAAAAATCCAACCAGAAGTGCCACTGACTGTACTTTGTGATCCCACTATGTTTAAAAGCAATCCAAGAATGAACCTGGGTAGAATTGCACTTAGGACCATGAAAAACAGAAAGTACTGCAGAAATTCAGGAAATTGGTTACTAAAAAGTAGAAAAGGAAGTATGCAAAAGAGCAATGTAGGAACTTAAATGACAACAAGATTCAAAGGAAAATACCTCATCTTACAAAATGTATATACAATAGTACATGCCACAAGTATTTTTAAAAGGAGTTGAATTGATCAAATTGATCTGATAATCAATAGCTCTATTAAGACTTGAAAAGCAAACCCTAGTATCACACAACACTAAATCCAAACATGTGACATTCTGTCAACCAATTTCTTCCTTTTATCATAGTACTGGAAATTGAACCCAGGCCCTCATGCATATAAGGCAAGTGCTCTACCACTGAGCTACATTCCCAGATCCTTTTTATTTGTTTTGAGATAAAGTTTCAGTAAACTGTCAACCAATTTTTATGAAACAAAACTGTTCTCATTTTTAAAAGTTCAATAATACTTTGTGCTTACCATGAAGTAATGAAGTTCTATTAAGTTCTGTGAGGCAATGCTTAAAAGATAAAAGATTAAATAGAAAAGTAGAGGTAAATTTGCATGAGAAATGGTGAAATGTGTTGATGAATATATATTTAAAATATTATCCCAATATGTAATTAATAGAAATTACTGACATTTCTATCTTTTTTAAACTAAGTCTTCAGAGTCCAGTACATCATTTACACTTATAAGATATGTCAAAAAACTAGCCACATTTCAACTACTCAACATGGCTAGGAGCTACTATAGAGTGAACCATAAGATCATATAATGATGTTATTGACAGATCATTAAGAATAAGTCATCTTATATCACATACTGGGCAAAATTTTGTGGGGAAACTTGAATTACAAGTTTGGGGCCAGCCTCAGCAACTTAGAAAGACTCTGTCTCAAAATTTAAAAAAATAAAATAAAAAAGACTGGGGATGTAGCTCAGTGGTAGAGCATCCCTGGGTTCAAATCCCAGTATCATATGCATACACAAAGTAATGTCAGAACACTTGGTGCCACTACTAACAGGAATGCATATATGAGTTACTGTTTGCTACAGTCAAAAAGACTGTTTGAAAATGTTTTGTAGCAATTTAGAAGAAACACTAAATGACAAAACTTAATTTCAAACAAGATAACTGCATGAAGAAATAATGGCTAATTGCCCAGAAATAATTTTAATTTTTACAGTGTACAGTACCCCCTAGTGGACATAAGGTATCTTTACTTCAAATATCTTTTTAAGATATCCTTCCTACAATACCAAAACTAAGCTTAGCATTCATCTGAACATGTCCTTGAAAAAGCCCTATCCTGATACAAATTCTAAAAGCAAATAAAATAGAAATAGCTCATAAAAGCTGACACATAAACAGCAAAACTAATTTTGTATTTCTTTCAGCTTTAGCCCTTTTGTGGCATCTTGTCACTAACTACTTATAATCCATGCCCTAACTTTTCTCCTCAACATGAGAACAAACAAATTCTTATATGAAATTTAGGGAAAAATATGAAGACTAGGGAGCCAGAAGAACTTCTGAAAGGCTAGAGTATTTATGACCAGTTTTTTTCTGGGGTCTAAATTAGTACTTCCAGTTTCCTGTTCATTATCACCACTCAACTTACAACTAGTACAATAATTGGTTTACTTGTCAGACATTAAACTATCTGAAGACAGGAATCTCAATTAGCAAAAGGTACTATATGTTGAAGTAAATGCTTGTTCCAAGTACCACATAGAACTGATTAGGATTATTACACCTGCTGTGTTAACTGGTATCCTCCACACCTCAAGAATAGTATTTAAGATCAATGCAATCACTAACAATGGACAAAATTTGAAAAGTACTAACAACAAACTGTCCTCTCAGCAAGAACAGTTAGGCTGAATTCCTTGACTTCTTTATGTACTATCTCCCAATTCTCTCAACAGAACACACACAAACCTAAACTAAGCACACCTGAACATACCAGGGCTTTGTTTATGCCCCTCAAGCCCAATAGCCTTTAAGCTCTATAGAGCAGGGATTTTATGCAATTTTCAAGCACTATTCCCAGACATTGCAGAAAAGTCCAAGTATCAATATAAAGAACTGCCAAATACTGATTTAAGCACTCCACATGTGTTAACTTATTTAATCCTTGTACTCATTTTATAAATAAGAAACTAAGAGTAACCAGTTACATTATGACCAAAGCCAGAAAAGGCAGAGTGTCAAGATTCAAAGATTCAGGCTCTTAGACTCTACTAACTCTGATTTCAGAGCCTGCTTTTTTATCTCAAGGGTGTATATATATACATAAAAAGAAAATTAAATATATGAGCTATAAATGTCAAATGTTTGGTAGGGACGGTAAGTAGCATAAATTAATAACAAAGGGTTATTTTTGCCCCTTCATAATCAGGAAGAAGTACATCATCAAACAGGTAAATTTAAGCTATAATGTCATTTTTTTTTTCTTTGAAACTGGGAACTGAAAGAATATAATCTTAAGGCAAATAAAGCAGAAATAAATCTGCTTCAATTTAACAAGTGATATGTATCATACTGACCTGGAATTAGTGTTATAACATCCAAAATGGCAAACCATTTTGCCCATCTTTGATAGTCACTGAAACCATTACATTCTTCTGAAATGATCCTGTGACTTTGGACTTTGAACCATTAATTGGTATGTCAACATCTTAGAGAAGGTACAAGAGGTGTGAGGAGGATAATATATGAATATATTCTTGTTCATTTCTAAAGATATTTTTAACTGAGTGGTAGAGCACTTGCCTAACATATGCTCTGGATTCAATCCCTAGTACCACCACCAAAAAAAAAATTTTTTTTCCCGGAAAAATAAAAATTTTAAGCCAGACACAGTGGCACACACCTATAATCCCAGAGACTGAGGAGGCTGAGGCAGAAGGATTGCAAGTTCAAGGCCCTCAGCAACTTAGCAAGACCCTGTCTCAAAAGAAAACCTTATAAAGGAGTTGTAGCTCAGTGGCAGAGCGCTTGCTTCATTCATGTGAGGCACTGTGTTCGATTCCCAGCACCACATATAAATAAGCAAATAAAATAAAGGCCTATCAACAACTAAAAACATTTTTTTAGAAATATAAAATACAATATAGTTCAGTGATAAAGTGCCTCTGGGTTCAATCCCCAGTAACCCCCCCCCCCCAAAGTCTAAACTAGACAGGGAAGAAAAGAGAGTTATCAGACCAGGGGTAAAATGCAGAATTTGAAGTAAATGTCTCTTTAGGACTAAATGGGGCCAAAGGAGAAGAACACTGAAGATGAAAATGTGTAATCTCTTTCTTTCCCTTAGGTACTGGAGATTGAACTCACAGGTACTCAACCACCCTCAGCCACATCCCCAGCCCTATTTTGTATTGTCTTTAGAGACAGGGTCTCACTGAGTTGCTTAACACCTTGCTTTTGCTGAGGCTGGCTTCGAACTCATAATCCTCCTATCTCAGCCTCCCAAACCGATGGGATTACAGGCCACTGCACCTGGCCACCTAATCTCTTTATCAAAGAACTTCTTCATGGTTTAAAAGTCTTTAAAGATGGTACTAATTTTGTAAAGAGAGCTATTAAATATAACTAGGCAAATAAGTGGTATTCTATACCTTGTAGAGAAAAAACCTCAAGAGCCAAGAAACTGGAATTTAATTTCAATTTTAATTGGACCAATCTGCTATATAACCAGCCACAAGTCACGTTACCTCTCTGATCTTCAAAAAGTCTCCAGACAATTCAAAGATTCTCTAGCATTGAACTAACCACACGTTTTATTATTATTATTAGAATGATTTAATTGTTAACTGCTAATGAGATGTCCCCTTTCATAACATCTTTGAGGCTCACAATTACTGTTCAGTAGTCTTCCCTGCTGAGGAGAGGGATATTTTGGACTGTGTCTCTAACATCTATGCTAATACTCAATATTTAAATAAAGAAGTAATATGTTACCAATGGCACTTTCCCAAGTTTTTTTAAAATATTTTTTACTTGATTAAAAGAAAATATGAAATGAAATTAGCCACACTCCTAGCAACCAAAATCCAGTGTTGTTTTCTTGTTCTTGTTGTTCTAATAAAGACAAAAGCCCTTACAACTTTAATGTGCACATTTTTTACTCATTGTGTTACTGCTGCCTGCTTTCCTCACAGCTGCTTATTTTATAGATAAATTAATATTCTTTGGAAACTGTATGACATAAAAGGTACTTTTCCTGGCCTACCAGCTAGTGGCTCTAACTTGTATAGACAGCTATATCATATATTACTTACACACTCATTTTCCTTCAGGTTAATTCCACTCTCAAATGCAGCAATCACAACAAAATGTAATGCCTAAGGATCCTAAAAATAGAAAAGAGCCTGTGTATTTCATCTGACAAAAACAGATGAAACAGAGAAGCTGAATTTTCAGTCAAAGACAAGTTACAGTTGGTCCAGACTTGCATTCTCAATCCAACTGTGCCACCACTGGCACAATTTAGTTCAAGGAAAGAAAAATCAAGAATCTTTCCCATTCGGCATGCTAACTGTGAGATAAACTAGGATTCAGGGATAACAGGATTGTCTCCCTCCAAATAAAATTCCTTTACTGTACAGCTTCAGGAGACAACCATTCACAATGAAGTATGCATGAACAGCACCACCCTGGGGTTATACAGTTAAGAGCCCGGATACTTGTAAATACTGGGGATTGAATCCAGGGGTGCTACCTCCCCAGACCCTCTTAATTTGTTATTTATTTTTGAGACAGAGTATGGATAAATTGCAGGTGCTAGCCTTGAAATTGTGATCCTTGCTGGGTGTGGTGGAGCATGCCTATAATCCCAGGGTTTGGGAGGCTGAAGTAGAAGGATTCTAAATTCAAAGCTAGCCTCAACAACTTAGCAAGGCCTTATAGTGACAACCTCTCTTTAAAAAAAAAACGGTTTTAGTGGTTAAGCACCCCTGGGTTCAATCCCCAGTAGTAAAAAAATTAATTCTCCAGTCTCAGCCTCTTAAATCTCTGGGATTACAGGCTTGTACCACCATACCATGCCTGATACTTTAAAGAATACAATTCCAGTTTAGCAGCTGCAAAAATCAACTTTAATAGTTTAACTCATGAAAAGCTGATTATACATAATTCTAATAAAATCGGTGTATTTACCCAAAACATTCCATTTTCCCTACCAATGTTGATAAATAGGCATTCACTGTGCTTTCAAAATTTTCTCCCTCAGGGTATGTGTAACATTTATTTTGTGAAACTAATACATAAGTGACACCCATAATTTTTCCTCTCACTAGAAAACATTTATTCTCTTATGGTGAATCAGTATCTTTGCAAAATCAGATAACACTAATAGCCAACACCACATAGGGCTCAGTACTATTAGGCTCTGTTCTTTGCACTCTAATCCTTTCAACCACCCTAGAGCTGGATTTGTATAACTTATACTTCTCCACATTCCCTAAAATCAGTATTTTGCTCTGGAGAACTAGGAGGAATGTCCAGCCATTTTGGCCACAAAAAAAAAAAAAAAAAAAAA